ATTTGAGGTGGCAAGCATATATTAAATTAAATTAATTAAAAATATGATTAAAAATTGCAGCCTGGCATTATGACCATGTCACAATAAATAATTACTCATTGTGTTTATTTCCATATCAGGAGTTTTTGAAGGAATATGGAAAAAAGGTATAGGGGAGATGGGCTAGTTGTCACAGTTTTTAGTCATTTCTAGTTTTAGAGTCTATAATATCAATTTATTTAGGTTTAAATGAAAATGTATACACCTACATATCTTTTGATTTGGTTTATGATAAATATATGAACATTCAATAATTTTTTGTCATAGTTATTAGTTATTTTAGAAACTGTGTTACCTTTGACAACATTACCCCTAGACAGGGTATGTTGTCACAAAGTAAGGGGTATATTGTCACAGGGTATATGTTTATAAGTTCTTACATTTCCTGATTTTATTTTGGTTATGTTAAATTATGCATAATATGACATTTACTTATGCCAATTCTATAAAGAAAATTACTAATAAAGAACTAATAAATTACTATAAAGAAGATTACTAATTTACTATTATTTATTCTGCAAAAGACAAGTAACTCGAATCTTTACATATTGTCTTCAGAGTCACAGTTGTGACAAACAAAATATGGATTTACATCTGTATATAGCTCGCGAGACCAAACTCTCACAACAAACCAAACAGAAGGTGTTTTCTTTCTCTTCTGATGAGTCAGTCTTAGTGACAAGTTGCCCCATTCAATGTGTGACAATTTGTCCCAAATGAACATCTTTAACAAATCAGTTCATAGTTTCTAATTTCAAAATAGAAAATTTGATTGCTCGTAATTTATATATACATTAATTAAGGACCCATCTAATAGGAAATACAGTTGTTACTCACTTTTTACTAATTGCAAGTTTTCAAATGGCACAAGACATGATGCATCAAAGTTTATGCGACTTGCTGTAAATCTTTTAACTGCTAATTAATGGAAAACAATGCAACTGATATTATTCAAATTTTGTAATGACGTAGGTGAGCGGTAAATGAACCTACTTCTATATGACATGATTATTCAGTTTTGATTTTATAGACGATATTTGCACTGTGACAACATGTCTCTTGTGTCAACTATTCCCAGTCTCCCCTAGTCTTGATACATGTCTTTATTTTGTCTTTTTTTTTCAAGATATTTAATGATAGTTGTATGCATGACTGATAATTATTATCACGATAGAGTTCAGTTTTTTGAAGGCTTTATGGATAACAATATTTATTTTTTAATTATAGGTGTTAAAGAAACATTATTTTGGTAATATGTAGAATTGATTTTAACATTCATGTCAATTTTGAGATAACACAAAAACTTAATCATGAATCTTGTATGAAACTTTTCAAACTTAGTTCCAAGCATCCAAAGTCTTTCTCGCCTTTTGTGATTGTAACAAAAAAGATGAATTTAATATCATTTAAGTAGATCTATGTTTCATTCATAGTCACAATATATTTCCATCTCACTCCAGCTAAATGATTTTCATAAAACAGTCTAAATCAGTGGTTTCCAAAGTGGGCACTACTACTTCTTGGGGGATGGTGAGTAAATCAAGGGGGACAAAAAGAAGCACTGGTAGCAGAGTTCCTGACCAAACTGTGACCAGTAGGCAAGGGCTTTGAGTCAATGGAATTTCGTTTAAGACCAGATATCTTACTTTTGAAATTTTTGAAGTAGTATATACCTTGTTTGGGGCACTGACAATTTTTCTCTTTCCTCTGTTAAAAGGGGTAAGAGAAAACACGTTTAATGATTTCCAGACATGGAGAACAATGTACAGTAAAGACACAAAGTGTGAGGTTTATAGTAAAGCTTATCTAAGAATATTTCCAAGCCTTTATCATACAAGGGAAAACAAGTTGGGGGCATTGGGTATAAGTTTATAGAACCAAGGGGATGGTGGCTCAATAAAGTTTCGGAATATGATCTACATCATGTTCTGCACTTAACAACATGCCTAGACGAAAAGCAATAAACATTGTTTCTTAGTTTTTTAAGATTTAAATCTTTGTTTATTATCTTGTTTACAATTGATAGAGATATTTACATATTGCAATTGTTCTTTGAGTCAATGGAATTTCTTTTAAGACCAGATATCTTACTTTTGAAATTTTTGAAGTAGTATATACCTTGTTTGGATTTGGTATTCTCTCAATGTTTTTTAATTACAGTTATTTCTGTTCAGAAAGAGGAAAAACATAACTTTCAATCCAAAATTTACATACTTTATTTTGAAGACAGACAATAAACTACAGCAGACAATTATTTGTTTCATATTATAGCATGTTGGCAGATATATTTTTTTGAATTATTTTATTGCTTTATTATTTTTTCAAGATTATTCTAAAAATATGTAAACATTCTTTGTATTTTAACCACTCAGAAAAAAGTTTGGTTTTTCATATTTTTTAATAATAATATAACTCATCTTATTTATTTAATGTTTACTTTGTCAGAAAGATTGAAATATTGTATGAAATCAATTATTAAATTTTTTAATTTTTTAAAAAATAAGTATCCACAATAATATACAAAAAATTTAAACATTAAATGTAACTTTTATTTGTTTAATAATAATTTCATAAAGAATGAAAAAATTTGAAATTTCTGAAATGAACTTCAATAAAATACCAGTAGATTTTTATGCATGAACAGTTATAGTAAACTTGGATGTCAAGTTCATTTGTATCATAAATAACACCAATATCACAATAAACCAGCAAAGAACAAGATTTTTATGAAAAAACAAACATTTTCTACCATTTTTAACAATTACTGTCAGGCTAAACTTTTGAAAATGGAATATATATAGAAACCTGTGTAAACTGGACTGGCACAGTACCAAATATTTTTTTTTTGTTTGGTAGGTTTCTATTTTGAACAGGTTTTACTATAATAAATATTTTAAATTAAAGTACAGGTATCCCTTGATTAACACAGTTAATCAAATACAGTATCTATGCTAAGTAAAGACAGCTGTTAAAGCCACATTAATTAAAACTTTTGCCACATATATAAAGAGATTACTGTGATTAATTTTGCATGTTAATCAAATCCCATGCTAAGCAAAACCACATTAAGCAAGGGATACCTGTATTTATTATATGTATACATAGAATGTTTCAATTAAAATAGTTTAAAATATTTATTATATGCTCCATTTTTTAATGTTTAGTCTGATGATGATCTTTAAAAACAGTAGAAAATGTTTGTTTTTTATCACAATCTTGCTCTTTGCTGGTTTATTGGTGATATTGGTGTTATTTATATAAATAGTACTTTAATCCAGTTTATTTTACATATGTTGGTGTTTAGTGTATTCATTTTATAGCTCCTTGATAGATCTTCGTTGCCAAAAAGTACTCAAACAATTGAATCTTGATGTAAGTTAATGAATGCCAATAAAATAAATTTATAAATGTATTTAAGTTTAATAATTCTTTCAGTTTGGATCTAGAAGATATTAATTTGTGTTTAATGAAAATATTTGAATGATTAATTAATTAAAGACCTTATTTTAAACTTTTGTATTTTTAGTTATATAATTAAATAAAAATTTTTTATATTATATAATACTGTAATGTATATTTAAAATAGTGATTCTCCAAATTGATGGTCTTTTGAAGTAAATTGAATAAATTGGAATTATTACAGGATTAAATATATTATATTTTACCATTTAATGTTTTAATTAATGTTGTTATATCAAAATCCATTAGAGAATTACTTAAGATTAATCCATATTTTATTGAAAAATTTAAATAGACTTTAGCAACAGCTATTAAAAATATATCTGCTAGAATATTAACAATACTACATGATATTAAGTTTTTAATTATGTAATTAGTCTTATTATATTAAATTTATATTAGCATTCCATATCATAATCTTTTCATTAGATATATTATTTACCTTTGACATTTTTCTATTATTTTAATATTTAGAAATGATTGATTAATGCATAGATTAATAAGCAGTATAATAGTAGTAGTGAGAAGACTATTATATAAATTAAAATTAAACTGTATTGAATAATCAGGAATTACCCTTTATCTTCAGGATACAAAATAATTACAACTTACTATAACAAAAATATTTTTTTTGATAAAGTCATGCTATAACAATAGCAAAAAATCTGCTTTATTGGAGTTCACTTTAATAACAGTTTTTCCAGTGAAGTTCAATAAAGCAGATTCTTTGTTGTATTTTTGAAGAAACTTGCAGTTGTTTATTATTATTTAAAATCATACTATTAAATAAATTGCAATATTTCATATTAAACATGATTAATAAAGTGATTATTTTATTTTTATAGTAAAAAGTTTTTTTCTAAGTTGTTCTGAATTTATTTTAAAAATAATTTTTATATATATATTTTAATGAACTGTAACTTCAACAAAAGTCAATAGAAATGTAATATGACAGCAAATGATGAAAATTTTCTATTCAGTTTTTGAATAAATATGCAATAGTTTTTGACAGTTTGATTAACTATTTGATATATTTTTGTTTTTTCTAAATTCAAATAAAAATGAAAGTTGATGATTTCACTTCTTATTTTTAAGATTTTGTCAAATCAAACTTGTCAAATTGTTATTGGCATGATGTGATTTATAAATATAAATTTGNTGCATGCAAAAATTCAAATATGCATTTTAATTTAGAACTTTAGTAATTAATGAATAAAAAACTACAGAATTAACACTGAATTATAGTAGATGATAATTATGTATATTTAAGTAATCAACCTAAAATATTCATATTAAAATAATAAAATTTTTTAAAACTAATTCTTTATATATAAGCTGCTTTTAAATTACAAAAAAGATACTTTAATGGAGCTTAGAGCATGGAAAATATATCAGATATTTTGTTCCATTAAGAACATTTTTGTATTTAAAATGTAGACTTTCTTTTTATTTTGAAGTTATTTAAAGAAATGTTTATATAAATTGTGTTGAATTTTTTATAGGTGTTGTTCGTTCATTGGCTCATTGCAAAGACTTGCATGTATTCTTTACTGAAACTAGACCATATAATCAAGGAGCTCGTTTAACTGCTTATGAATTGATACATGATTCAATATCATCAACTCTGATTTGTGATAATATGGTTGCAGCATTAATGAAATCAAAAAAATTATCTGCTGTAATAGTTGGTGCTGATAGAATTGTAGCAAATGGTGATACTGCCAATAAAATTGGAACATACCAAATAGCTGTCTGTGCCAAACATCACAATGTGCCGTTTTTTGTAGCTGCTCCTATTAGTACAATAGATATGACAATAAAAGATGGCTCAGATATTCCAATTGAGGAGAGACCACAGAAAGAAGTTACTCATATTCAAGGTCTTCAAATTGCTGCTCCAGGTAAATAAATAAACAATGAAATTATAATATTTCATTTAATATAGAATAACTTGATTTATTTTATAAAACAGTAATACTGTAGTGCTTAAAAATGAATATCTTGTAACATAATAAGAGTGTACAACTTAAATTTAAATAATTATTAAGATTTCTAATTTTATAATTACAGGATACATTAATTTTGTATATAGTATACAAGTTCAACACATACATATCCATAATGTTTACATACATAATCTTGAGCAAATCATTAAGTGTTTTTATAGTTTACAGTTATGTTTAATGAAGAATACAAGTCTAATTATAAAAAACTTATTTTTTAATTATTTTGAAATGATTAAAATAGGAACTTTTGAAGCTGTTTTTATTAAATATATCTGTAGATAGAAATGTGATCATATATTTGCATCTCTATGTGCAAAATATTTTTTTATTTTTATTAGTAATCATTAAGGTAGGTCATCCAGGCACAAAAAATTATATAATTTATAATTTTTATAACTATTTTTATGATTTTTAGTGCCTAGATGTCCTAGTCTTATTAATTATGTAATTTTTTTTCTGTAATCATGATCCCAAAAACTTCATTTATCATTTATTATTTGAGTTTTAAATTTAAATCTGTCCAGTTCCAATATGATGCTAAATTTTATAGTTAAATCCTCATTTATTCGAAACTATAATCATTACCACATAAAGAAGTACAGTTTTATATATTTATCATCTTTTTCACAATTAAATAAATCTAAAATAATAAATTAGAAGTATAAAAACAAATGACTTTATTGAAGTAATTTTTATATTTATAAATACCTGTGAAAAGAAAAATCTCTCTCTAGCCTGTAAAATATTGATGGATACTGTATATTGTAAATTAATATAATATTAATAATTGAGTTTGACACTGTTTGTGTTAGAATTTCAGTTATTGATCAAATTGATAGTTTATTTTTAATTTTTATTTTGATAGTTTCAAAGGAAGAATTAAAATTTAAAAATAATTAACCAGAAAAACACAGTTACTGTTTAATTAAATTTAAATGTTTAATTATATTGAACTCTGATTTCTCCTATTTATTAGGTATTTAAATAGAATAATTAATTCTAGTGTTTACTTGCTTTCATTTCTTTTCCATTGATTGATTTATATTCTATTAAAGCTAATGGATCTGGATTTAAGGATTATGGATGGATTTATTGATGAGTCTGACATTCAGCAGAATTATGTTACTGATAATAATAAGTAGAAAAGAAAAAAAATGAAGAAATAAAACTTAAATCAAATTTATAATTACAAAATCAGAAAATAAATTTAAAAGCTTCACTAAATGTAACAAAATTAAATTAGAAAAAATGAATTAAGTAAAAGGAACTGAGTAAAAAATTTGCTATCACATTAATATAAATGAATACACTTGAGATTGTATTTGCAATATGTTTTTGCATATATTAAACTTTATTAATAAAACAAACTAAACAATTCTTGTTGAAAGTACAAAAGATGAATATGATAAAAACAAAGAGATAAAAGATTCTGCTTAAAAATCAATTGCTGTCTGAAAGATTAATTGATAATTCTCACTCTACATTTCTTTTTAAGTAATATACAAAATGTGTATGTTAAAAGAATATGAATTTATCAATCAATCTTTTCCTCTGATAAAAACAGTAGCTCAACATAATTTTTTTTAAACTTTGTTTTTTTGTGTTTATATTTGTTTATTTTATAGAATTTTTAGAATTCTGTTCCAAAAATAAAGTTTTGCACCATTTTTCAACAGATATCTGTAAGAAAGATAAATAAATAAAATTAAAATTTTCAAATATCCATAACATCTTATGATATTTAGATGAAAAAAAGCATCCTTATTAAATAAAATAACATTGCAAAGAAAAAATAAAGATGCTAGCTTTTCCTTAATTTAAAAAAATTTTATTGACTGACTTTACTAAAGTTAATTAATAAAATGTTTTCTAAGAAGACTCCCATTGGTGTTTTGAACTAATTTCTTCAAATTTTATAATTTTATATTTAACAGAATTTTAGTAGACATGGATTTAATAGCAACAGAATTATTCAAATTTCTTTCATAAGATTCTTCTTCTTCAGAAGTGACTAACAGAAAAGTTATTTAAGATATTGACATTATAATTCATATTTACTTGCTCAAATTATAAAAGAAAAAGAAAGAGAACAGGATGGATATAATTTAAAAAGTTTGAACCACTTTTTTGACATATGAAAATTAATTGCTATTTCATAAGCATAAAATTAACATGATAATATTTAATATGCATGCAAAAATTCAAATATGCATTTTAATTTAGAACTTTAGTAATTAATGAATAAAAAACTACAGAATTAACACTGAATTATAGTAGATGATACAATTACAATTTTAAAATTAATTTAAATGCTTAAATATTTTTGTTGTAATTTTTTCCCTCCTGTCACTTATTATATTTAATTATTTAGTCAGAGTTAAATTGCCATTTACAGTTCTTTTTCTAAATAAAGCATGATTTATCAAAAAAAAAAAAACAAATCAGCAATTAATTATTATACTAAATCAGAAATATTATTTATTGCTGATTCTATAAATTCATTATGGAAAATAATTTATTTTCAACAGAGATTTATGTTCATTTACATTTTCTGAGTAGTAATTACTGTAGATAATATTTCAAAATAGAAAATGCAATGTAATTTCTTCAAAGAAGAATAATCTTGTTTACAAGTAAAACATAGTTCAAGTGCTAATCCAGTATTAAGAAAATTATAAACTTTAATTACATCATGCTTATTACTCTGATTAACAGCTTAAACTTATATAATTACTAGTTAAAATAGCCATTGCAATTTTATTCTTATTACTTTTAAATTGTAGATACATTTGCTAAATTGAATGTACTAAATTTACTTATATGATATTGTTTAAATGTGGTCAATGGAAATTTTTCAGTCAATTTTGAGTGTATCTATTTGAATTATACATAAATTATGAAGGATTCATTTTATTATTATTATTTCTGTAAGACACTATAATAGGAATTAGATAAAACAAATAGTAAAAATGTATTTTTCGGTATTATGCAGTCACAAAAAGAATTAATGTATACAGTATTTTTAAAAGCATATATTATTTGTATCTAAATTGTTCAATTATTTATAAATGCTAAAATAAAGTTAAAAATTTAGTATTGAAGATATTTGTAAGTAAAGAAGATTAAGGCTTCTTAAAAACAATTTTTAGAATTTATTTAAAAATATTGATTAATAACATAATAATTTTAAATTAGCAAATATTAAATTTACTTATTTTCAAGAAATTTTACATAAATAAGAGTTAATATTTTCTTTGCCAACTACACAGCCATCTGATATCATTTATAGCTTAACTACAATATTAATATTGCTTTAGATGCAGCATTAACATCATCTTACGACATAAAATATTCAGAAAATAGCCTTAACTGAAATTTATGGGTAGTAATACATAAAGATAAAATTTAATCATCACAAAAATTCAAAAAGGAAATTCCATTTAAAATATTTCAGAATAATGTAGGAACAAATTTTGAATTAATAAAGATATTGAATCAATTTTTTTATATTTGATTATTATATTTTCATATTTTTATATAATTAATAAANTAGTTTATATTATTATACTTTATTGTTTAAAAATAATATTTTTTAAGAACACTATAGCAGCTTAAATTTATGGATTTTTAATGCTTTACTATTTATTAAATAATATCTTTATATATAATTTTGTCAAAATACATCTGCAGGAACTGTTTATATTTGAATTTTGTACAATTGATTTATATTTGGTGTAATGATTATCAAATTTTATAATATAAGCATCTGGTTTGTATCGTGTAGATATAATTGTAAAATGTTTTGTCAATAAATAAAAATTGATTGATGTGTAAATTCTTAATTTTCTATAATAACTGTATTTTACTTTTGTTATGAATAAATATCTTAATGGTATTTATTGTAGATATTAAAACATGGTAATATCTACATATTACTATGTTAAAATTACATAGTAATATGTAGATAAGAAAATATCATCATTATTTATCATATAATATGTCAGTTTGGAGAGATACTAAAGAAATCTTGTCTGAAAAACAATATTTTAATTTTCTGTTATTTTTAAGATTTTAAAAATTATTTTTTTCTGTTTTAATTAATTTTTTAACATAGAATGAAAATGATTGATTATTTATTAATTTGGTTTATAGAAACAAAAAGTGATTAAGACATATTTAAATTTTTTTATATTCAGATTACAATTATCTAAAGTTAGAGTGTGTCTTTTAATTGAGATACATTAAATAATCATTTCTCTGTAATGAGTAAAATAATCTTAATTTCTAAAGTAATCTAATCCTGTAATATGCAATTACATTTAGATTCTGCAGAAAGCAAGAAACATATTAGATATTTATATATTGCTATATCATTTACATCTGTAATTTGTTAATTATTTTTTATATGCAGTTTTTGTTAGATTTTGGAAATTAGAAAATTATATATTTATGACTTGAAGAAGAAAAATATGCTAATACTTTAAAATCTTAAATCTGAAAACTTCTTAAGAAATATATAAGAAAAAATAATGTATTTACTTAAATGTAAAAAAAGAAAAGGAATTAGTTTAGAAAGGATTTGCCTATGCTGATAGAAAACAGTTGACAGATATTATTGATTGTTTTAAAAAAAAACTGCTTTGAAGTATTTGCTTTAGAACTTTCATAAAAATAAGAAAAATTCAATTAAATAAATTGCTTTAAATCTTGAAATATTTATTTAATCAAATTTATATGAAATAAAAATTATAAATTGATATTTTTCTCATCTTGATGATATCAAAAAATAGATATTTGATGAGACTAATTTTTTAAATCCTATTTTTTACAACTGTTCAATTTATGTTTGCTATCTAATTTCAAATTTATTAAGAGATGAAATTATATAAAAAAGT